CATGTTTCTGGACTGTGTGGGAGGAAGCTGGAGAACCCGGAGAGAACCCACGCTGCACAACCGGCAACCTTGTTCTTTCTTTTCCTACGTTTCCAAAACAAGGAAACGTGTAAAATAACCACCAACTGAATAATATTTCTATTCTGTCATGTTCTGGTCACACTGTGAAAGAACTATAACACACACAGGTTAGATCAACATGGAAATTCTTTCTTTTTTTTTCCTGTGATTTTTCTCGTTATTTCCTATAATTAAAAACAACACCTAAACAACACGAATTAAACATTTTTAACATTCCTACAACACAAAACATCTTCGTGCTGATTGAAACGCAGTCAAACGTTGTGTGATAAAAGAACAGATGAGTGTTTTTGTTACAGTCCAGACTCGTTTCTTCTTCTTCTTCTTGTTTTCGGGGTCGCTCTGCTGCAGACCTCCAGGACTCTGGGGAGGCGACCTTTTGTTCCCAAACACAAACCAAGGACAGACGGCACCAGAACACAGACATGGAACCGCCTGAGAACCCGCCAGGCATCTGAACGCTGTCTCAGCGGTCGGGTTTACGTTCTGAAAATGCTGCTCGTGTTTGTTTCTGACTGTTCTTCAAATCATATCACGACTACCCTGAAACCTGGCAGATCAGACGCACAGACGAACTTGTTTCTGGTGCTGTTTCCACAGAACGAGCTCGTGTTTTGCAACGATCGCGAGATAATTACGTCTTCAGTGTAAGAAAACACACTGGATGAGAAGAAGTTAGATTTATGGAGTTGATGCAGCAGCTTTATGATCAAATGAGAACAAATCAGGATCCTGCATCATCTGGTTTTATGACAAAGAAGAAGGTCAGTGAAGCAAGCAGAGCTCTGATTGGTCAGTGAGTGAGAACACCTGTGTGAGGGGCGGAGCTTAGAAATCAGAGCCGTATGGAAGCCGAAATATTCAACTCACTGGTACTTTGTTGGATTAAAACTTTGAGCTTCTTTCTAACGAGGTCGTCACAGCGCCGACGTTTCAGGTAAGAAACACCTGGAGAGAATCCAGAATGGAGGACGCCTGTTGTCTGTTACCTGAGGTCCACAGTTTACGTCCACTGAACCTTCTTTTCTGGGGCTTTCCATTGGTCGCCCCAATGGAAATATTCAGTAAATCTGTCAGGAGTGGGAAACTGAGCTGGAGAAGTTTGAGAGCCATGAGTACATGATTTATTTTTGACAGCAGTGGTCAAGAGTTCTGTGATGGAACAGAAGAAACCGTCTTTTAGCTCATTTGTTTGGTTGCTTGTTGGAAAAAACCTTCACAGGATTCATCCAGACGTTCTAAAGCTGCATCTGAAAGCATCTGAAACTAACATCTGCCCATTTTCTAGCTGAAAGTCCAACATTTTTATAACTTTGCACCCAATGGAAAGGTTCAGTAAATCATCTCTCGCGAGTTGGGAATTGAGCGAGATGCCACTTTCAGACGGCCATATCTCTTCAAGTATACGTCCTGGAGTCTCCACATGTTCAGGAGATGTTCACAAGTTTGTGGTGAACGGAGAGAACGCAGCAAATTCTGGAAATCAAGACTCAATTCTTTGCTTCAGAGTTCCCAAATTCAGGATTTGTTCAAGAACCGCCCATAAAGTGGATTTTTGAAACCCTAGGAAAAATATAATCTAATACATCGGATGGATTTGATCAGTGTTAATGTGGGAAACCATCTGAATGACATGAACAATGGTTAGAAAGCTTTCATGTGTCAGTAGAAATGGGAGTTAAAGCCGATCAGAGTTCCAGACGCCAACCCAGCCTCCACTTCCTGTTTAATGACAACAGCAGCAGAATGATTTTAGCATGAAGATGGAAGGATGTTGAAACTTGGAGCTCCTCTTCCTGACCTACACCTCATCAGCCTGCCCATGATCCAACACGTCATCTGCTGTTTGGAAATTCACTGTTTCACCTGAAAGCTTTTGAAAATCCACTTCATGTGCGATTTTTAAACAAGTCCTGAATTTGTGAGGTCTTAAGCAAAATAAATAAATAAATAAATAAATCTGTATATTAGGGTCTGGAAAATGGTGAACGATTTTCTAAACTGTTATTTTACAGA